TCTCCTTATTTCCAGTACATCTTCTCACATGTTACACTTCAAAATCGCATTTGCCCAAATTGGGATACAAAGCATCTATATGACAAGTTTTCAGGATATGTGTAGCCAACAACATTCGTGCCTAAATAAGGAAACACAAAAGAAGTATTTTCCATACGATCTTAGAATAATTGCAATAAATAATAAAAATACTCTCTCAGATGTCCAAGTTTTCCTCCAAAAGTTTTAAAAGTTGTCTTTACAACATCCTACAGTACTCCTCTTTTCCATTGAACATATCAAATTCCCGTAAAATTGTGGCAGTTTAGGAAAGTGAACAGAGGCAGCCTAGGTGAGGGTGACGTCACCGCAAACGCCTACACAGCACGACCCCGGAAGGAGGACTGATGTCAGGCTTCCTCCTTTTTCCCTTTTGTCCTTAACCCTCTCCATTAAAAGAACAGGACCTTTTGCATAAACAAATGATTTTTAGAGCAAATTGTTATGTTTTCCTTTATTTTCAAGGAAACAAAGCCAGCAAAATGGATTTCTATTGCTACAGATAATTTTTAGGTAATGTACTCCAAGGTTGGATTTTTTTTTTAAATAAAAGATAGAATTTTATTCGAAGTGCTAGAATTATTTAAAAGAAGTTTTTGCCCTAGAAAACTTGTAAATGAACAAAGAAATCCAGACTGTATTATCTTTTTAATAGAAACACCATGATAAATAAACAATTGAAGCAGTAACATCTGGCATTTCACGGTGACATCAGATCCCGTGTCCAGCATCATCTCCGCCCCCTGCAGGGTTATCCCTTCTGAGCCCCTAATGTTCACGATTCGTTTTGGGCGGTCTTCGGTTATACGTTCACAAAATGCCACTTGAGGCTCTCCTGTAAAACCAAAGCCGATTGATCCCCGCATTGTGGCCTCGGCTCTACGGACAGCTCCCCTAAAACGAATAAGCTGGGGATACTTGTTTGCCGCGTCCCTCTGCACGTGGCTCTGGCCGTTTCCCGGAGGGGAAGCACCATCTTTCCTAAAGCATGAGTGACATTCGGTGGCACTATGACCAAACTTTTGACATCCAGAACAGCTGCCGGTAAATCTACCAATTGGCCCTACGCCCCCAACCCCTCCTCCTCTATCACGCTGTGGACATTGCCGTTTCCAATGTCCCAACTTACCACATAGAAAGCAAACCCTCCGGGACCCTGTATTCCCCTGTCCCTGTGGCTTCCCCTGGTTTAACGCCACCGCTAGGGCCTGAGCGTGAATTTTTGTTTTCTTTGCCTCCATCAATAGTGGGGCGCCTGCACAGGCCTCCACCATCCCTGCAAGAGAAACCCCTGGCTGTAAAGTGGCGAGCTGCTGTTTACAGAATGAGTTGGTGTTTTTGACAGCCAATTCTTTCACCAAGACCGCCTTCATATCCCGAGGAACAGTTGGGGCAGCATCTAATGCCTCTTTAATTCGATCTACAAAACTCAAAATGATTCCTCTGGCTTCTGCATGATCTTAATATATGGCTGTTGAGGGGCTCAAAAATGCGGCCAGAGCGGCGTTTTTAGATTGCACCAGGATTCGAGGGTGCAGCGCTGCCTGTGGGGATGGATCCCAAAACTGCCCCGTGCCCATCAGTTGGTCCAGGCTGGCGAGGCGTAATGGATCATCTGCTGCTAATTTGAGATTCTCTAACGTTTTGGCCTCTAGTCGTTCCTGCCATTTGGCCATCCAGAGCATGTAAGTGGTAGGTGTCAGTATCAGTTCCATCAGGGCCTTTGAGTCAGCTGGAACCAAATCAGTATACTTAAAGAGGGCAGAGACTTGGTTGTGTACCAATTTGTTATCGTGGCCATACGCCATCACTGTCTTTTGTATGTTAACAACCCTTCTCCAGTCTAGGGGTTCCCAACGTGAACCGTGTTCTGTCCAGATCTCTGGCAGGGACAAGGGGGAAAGCGTAAAATCCCCTTCTAACCCTGCGTTCGCAATGATGCCCTTCCAGCGGGCAGTGGGATTATGGGTGGGGTCACTGGGTGGCCCCCCTGCTCCGTCTGTATTTTCAGCCGCCGGGGCGGGAGGTTCTTCCCCCGTTTTCCCCGATGCTGGGGGGGCTGGGGCGGGACTGAAGCCGGAGGCGGCTCTGCCTCTGCGCTGTGAGCGCCGGGCTTTTCCGTAACAGTTCCTGAAACTTTTGTATGTGCTCCTTCTCAGAATCAGAGATTTGAGCAGAGGGTCCATATTTAGATTGTAAATATTTATCAGCTTCTGATAAGGACCATTCCCCATGTGCCACCAAGTCAAGAATCCATTTGCGCTGGGAGGGGGTCAGTTCTTTTGTTTCCCCAGCAGCCTGTGGAGCCGCCGGAGGGGATTTCGGGCCAGACTCAGCGGCTTGTAACTGCTGCTCAATATTTTTTAGCCCACCAACCATCGCCTCATGGGCGTCCCTATGTGATCTGAGGAAAACCAGATGGCCTACCTTGGTAGAAAGGACTAACACATAAGGAGTAAACAGGATGGCACTACTTAGCATAGATAAGGCTTGGAATGTATAGATAAGGCCTGAATTGTGAGGGAAGGTATTGTGTGGGAGGATGCTCCCACAGAAACTTGCAGAGAAGACAAGACCCTGGTGCAGACCCCAGAAAGGAATGCCAAGAGGTGAAAAGTGCACAGCGAGGAAGACATCCGGCCTTCATCCCAAAGACCCCTGCCCACGACCACCAGAAGATACTGCGCAAGTGCAACAAGGAGGAGCTTGGGGGGGCAACTATGCTAATGATTAATTGTAATAACCCCTCCCTATCCTCGGACACCTAATGTATATGCAGCAGTATAGATGAATATGTATTACTTTGTGGCATATAATGACCTTGCCAATAGTCCTAGGGTGTGCACGCTTGTGGAGGAGCGATCCCCCGTGCACCCAGCGCTGAATAAACATACCTTCTTTATAACCTTATTGGTTCTAAAGTCGTTATTCCGCACGTCATATGCGCCTTCTGCACTTCCTTAGCCTCAGCCCCTCGATCAAGGCGCTGCAGCCGCGCAAGCAGCTCGGGCGTTTTCCCTGCCCAGCCCTGCCTTGCTGTGCGCGTCTCATCGCCCGGGAGGGGGAGCGTGGCAGGATCAACCTCCATCGGAATCGGGGGCGCCGAGGGCTGTAATTGCTGTTTCCCACAGTTGTATTTTCCCTTCCTGCTCGGGATTCCAGGGAGGCAGTTCATCTTCCACCCCTCCCCACGCCTCTTTCTCTGCTGAAGAGATCGGGAATGCGGAGTGATCGCCCTCTGGCTGTTTACATTGTGATGCGGGATGGTCTAACGATGTCAATTCAGAGGTACTTAACTCTGGGCACTCCTTCCCATCCTCCAGCACCGCCTGCCCAAGAGCCGCGGCAACTTGAGCTTCCCCGTTCAGCTGCTCAATCGCGAGGCGGACTGAGCGGTGCAGCAGCGCGTGCCGTTTCGCCTCCTTTGAGCCAGTTTGCACACATTCCCACAGTTCTTTTCCTACATTATTCCAGGCAGCAGGACTAAATACCTGCGAGGGCTTCTCCAAAAAGACCCTTCCGCCTGCACCAAACCAACAAATCGATCAGCGATTGTCGGTGCAGCTTTGTATCAGTCTTTTCTGCCCACCGCACCACACTGCCCACGTTGGCCTTTCCCGCTGCCGATAGGGCGATTCCCATCCTGCCTCCCGATCCTGCGACCGGCGTGGCCACAATCCCGTCTCCCTCGGACGGCCCAGCTTACCCGCGGGCAGCAGGATCCCTCGCCCTCCTTCGGCTCCGTTCCTGTACCCGGCTCGTATCACGTCGGGGTCACCAGGTGCCGAGGTCCATATCCCTGGCGAGCACCAATATGATGTAGGTTCAGTCCGTGTTTATTCAGCTGCGTGCAGACTCCATAGGCTCAGCACAGCTGCCCGCTGTCCGTGCGGCAAAGCAAAGCTCTGAATTGGTTAACATACATTGTTCACACATCCCCATTCCCCTTCTGATTGGTTAAGCCCTTTATCTGACTCCCCTGTTTACCTTACTACACATCCCAGAGCCTCACTAGTTCCCACAGGAACGACCTTCACTGCTCCTCCAGCTGCCTGATGTTTCTACCTAAAGTTTCTCATAATCATTCAGCACAGCCAGGGCCCCAACAGGGATGGGATGAGGGGGATGGGTGAAAACTGGGAAAGGGAGATGGAGGCTGGAGATGAGGGAATTCTTGGCTGTGAGGGTGGGGAGAGCCTGGGCCAGGTTGCCCAGGGAAGCTGTGGCTGCCCCATCCCTGGGGGTGTTGAAGGGCAGGTTGGATGGGGCTTGGGGTAGCCTGGGCTGCTGGGAGGTGTCCCTGCCCATGGGGGGGTGGGACTGGATGAGCTTTAAAGTCCTTAGAACACAAACCATCCCATGATTCTATGATTGACTTGGCTGCCCCTGAGCTGCTCCTGAAGACAGGCAGGACTGCAGGACTCCCTGGCAGGAGAAAGGAGGCTCCTTCATGGTGTTAATTTTATTACAAAACCCTCAGCCCCTCCACACACACCTCCCCCCTTCACAGAGCAACCAGAAAGAACAGAAACAGCAAAATACAACAAGGCTTCCTGGAGAACAAGAATCAACAGGGACCTGCTGTGCCCCACCAAGCAGAGCAGCAGCTCCAGCAGAAGATTTGGGCACCTTATTGCTCCTTCCCACAGATGTTTCCAGAGGCCCAGGGAAGGCTGCAGGGGGCAAAGAGCCCCTGGGCTGAAGGGAGTCAGAAATGCTGGGAACACTGGAGTTGCAGCCCCACAAACCAAGGCCTCAGGCTGTTTCCACCCCAGAGGCAGCAGCAGCACCACGGCTGACATGCAGGGAGGGGTCCCTGCTCCCCACAGGCAGACAAGGAAGGTTGGGATTTTCATTTGGGTTCATGTTTTTGGCTTATTTCTTGTATCAAATGCAGATGATCCCGTTGCAGCCACCGGAGCCGTCGATTCCCTCTCGCTGCTGCCCAGGGGGGGCTGGTGACCCCCCCCCCAGGCTGCTGCTCTGGGGTTCATGTTCCCTCCTTCCTGAGCTCTGGGGGGTGGGGGCATTTGACCTGGCTCAGTTCTTTTTGGTCTTGGGGGTGTCATACTTCCTCTTGCTGGAGTACCAGAGCAGCAGTGGGATCCCGATGGAGGGCAGGGTCATCACCCCAAAGGCTGCCCAGTCCAGCTGGAAGGAGAGATGGAAAGGAGAAAAGTCAAAACAAATCTAATACCATGGGTGGATTTGGTTAAAGCTCATCCAGTCCCACCAGAATTCCCTCCTCACGTCCAACCTCAATCTCCCAGTTTTGATCCATCCCCCTCATCCCATCCCTCCCTGCCCTTGTCCCAAGTCCCTCCCCAGCTTTCCTGGAGCCCCTTCAGGCACTGGAAATCACGTGGAGATGAGTTGCAGCATCAGACCTTCCACCCTTGAAGCTTCTGGCTCAAATCCCACATCCCCAGCTCCTTCACAGAAGCAGCTGGGATGAAAACTCTTTGTTTTTCCTATGACATTCCTCTGGAAAACTCACAGAGCTTAACTGCAACCCACAGTGGAGCTTCCCAGGTGAGCGTGGTGCAAACCAAACCCACCACAAACTGCCCAGAAGCCCCGTGCTGGGGAACCTCAAACCAGGACACTGGTCTGGGCAGGTTCAGTCCCTGAGACACTTACAAAGTGAGGGGAGAACCTCCTGTCAAACTCCCGCTGAGCCAGGATCCCTCCCTGCCCAGGAGCACTGGTGAAGCCAACCTGGAAAATACAGAGGGAGAACATCCCATTAATCCCCTTCCCTTCTTGGAGCAGAGCCTGAGCAGTGTAAGCACCTTGTGGTTTGAGGGGCCAGGATTGTTGTGTGGGACTGCCAGGAGGGCCTGGAGAGAGATCCTGAGGGATCTGGGTGGGTCATGATTCCCACTTCCTGCCATATTCCATAAAATCCAAGAGACATGGAGCCCGTGGCCTTCCTGCTCCTTTCTTTCTTGTTGCTTTGCTGCACTCAGAGGTCTGGGAAGGAGGTTCCTGTTCCATCAGGTCACCACGTGTTTTGCAGGGTCTGAGTCCATTGGGTGCTGGGAAGAGCCCTGGACCCACTCCCAGATCAGCCCTGACACAAGGGACGCTTGGACACTGATATCTGCCATCATCATGGAAGGGTTTGGGTTGGAAGGACCTTCAAGATCATCTAGATCCAACCCCCCTGCATGGGCAGGGACACCTCCCAGCAGCTCAGGCTGCTCCAAGCCCCATCCAACCTGTCCTTCAACACCCCCAGGGATGGGGCAGCCACAGCTTCCCTGGGCAACCTGGCCCAGGCTCTCCCCACCCTCACACTCCACAATTCCCTCCTCAGCTCCAACCTCCAGCTCCCTCTCCCACTTTTCATCCCTCCCCCTCATCCCATCCCTCCCTGCCCTTGGCCCAAGTCCCTCCCCAGCTTTCCTGGAGCCCCTTCAGGCCCTGGAAGCTGCTCTAAGGTCTCCCTGGAGCCTTCTCCTCTCCAGGCTCAACACCCCAACTCTCCCAGCCTGGCT